TACATAGTCAAACCAGTAATTCCTCCCCCTCCAATCTCATTATCTGAACTGCCATAATTCATGTCACCAACTCTTTTCCCAAATAGTTGCCTGAAGCAGGCACTTGACAAGAAAATTTTTGCTTGAGACATTCATATTTGAGGATATTATAAACAAAGTAACACGAAAAAAAATGTTGGACATCCTTACCTGCTGGCTATGCTGCCAGCTCTGCTCAGTATTACCCAGCCTGTGGAAATTCCTGCATATTCCAGTTATTTGTTGCTCTTTCTAACAAATTCACTAAATGTGAGTGCAGCATGAGCAGACAGCTACACATGAGAAAACTCTGAGCTGAACTTCTTTTTAGTTGAAAGACTGCAACAGATCTTTTCTTTAAAAGTTCCTCTTACAAAAATCTACTACTGGGTGCTACCAGGTCTCATATTAATCCAAGTTTTTCTCAAGATCTTTAAAATGGCCTCATAATCAATAATTGCTCCTGATTCTGTGGAGATTAGTTGAATGATACACTTCATTAATTCATCATTAAATAGAAAAGAAAAAAGTAGTGTGTCTTCACAGCAAGTTTATGTCCCCCAAAATTGGCCTTTTCAGGTGATAGTTGGGTAAATCCTTCTCATTTCTATCAGCTGGAGAAGATATTTTATGCTTATGATTGATTGTTTTTGTGTGCATGTTTGCTGCTCTTCTGTGTTAGTTGTCGCATACTGTCAATAAAGAAAAAGTGAGGTGACTGAAGGTTTGGCAAAGCTGAAGTTCATGAAAAATGCATGAGTTTGATATGTAAAGATTTTCTCTCTTTCTTATACTGAAGTAGTTGATATGCTCATTGCCAGTTAAATATAAAATGTTGGGAAGCGTATGGTGAAATCTGATTGAAACAAAATCATCAGGGAGAGGAAAGATAACTGAGTACTATCCAGGAAAACAATCTCATATCCAGAAGTTGAAAATAAGAAGCTAAGTATTTCCTGCAACCCAAGCCTAAAGAATCAGATATACAGTAAAAAAAATCCTAACTTTTAGAAAGAGGTCACAGGAGTATAATAAAAAAGGAAATGAGAAGATCTAATAGTAGGAAGTAGGACTGGAAACAAAGGAAAAACAGAGAATAAAAGTATAATGCTTAGTGTTTGTTACATCTGCCCTCCTGCTTCCTGTGCAAAGGTCTCAAAGATTCTATATTTAATAGTTTAAGGCCAATCTTATCTTTTTTAGCATATTAAAGATGCAGCTAGGATCAAAGCTTTTGTAGCCAATGTTGAAGTGTATCTACTAAGTGCTTATAATTGTTAAATAGAAACTGATTTGGCATATTATATGCATCATAACTTACAGCGGAGTTAATTAATTGGCAGTTACATTTCTTCCTAGGTAGCCTATGGCACTTTTTTGATTAATTTTTAAACAAATGTAGTTCAGATTTCCTATTTCCTAAGCCTTTTTTTTCCCCCTGTGGCCTAAGTGGCATGCACTGAACAAATATTCATGAGTCCTTCCTAGATGATGGTGATGATTTCATATTTTATAAGAAAATAGTAAAGAAGTTGGACTCTGCCTTGAAGAGCAAATGGTTCTTTGCAAATGAGGGAAGTTAAAGCTGCTGACATTGCTCTGTACCCCTGCCCTGAGTCACAAAGCAGCACGGTGAGGTGGTAGTCAGAGCCCAGCTTGAGTGTAGAAAAATGGAAGGGCTACACTGGGGAACTGTGTCTTTTCCCAACTGCAAATTCTCTGGTAACAGCCATTTCCCTGGAAACATTTCCACCTTGGGACTCACTGTGCTGCCCTCCTAGTGTAAACCCACTAAAATACCAAGAGATTTGTCACTGAGTTTAGCAAAGCATCATCTATTTTGTGACAAACAACGAATGTTTCACATCTACAAAATGGCTTTTTTTTTCTCCAGTTCAAATGGGCAGCTGGATTTTTATAGCTCTGATTTGGAATATTCAGCAGCCCCCTGAAAATGGAATGTAGAGAAATATGCCCACCTCCACAATCATGTCTCCTCAGGACACAGATGACAACGAACATTTTGTAATAAGAGCACGTAGGGTATTTTTTTCCTCACACAAAGGATTTAACAATGCAATTTCTCTGAAACAATTACCTTAAAATACCTTCACCTTTATTTTTAACTGCCTAAGTTGAAACTGACTTCCCCCAAAATTGTATGTCAAGAAGAATATTTTAAATAATTTCTAATAAAAATTCTACTTACTCTTGGGGTACCTACCTCTGTAAGTAATATCATCTTTCAGGACTTAAAAGTAACTTTCACTAGTAGAAGATCTTCCATTTGTCTCTTTTTTGGGAAGAGATCAGTTCTTTATTTGTGTTTGGTTAGGTTTTGAGACTGTAAAGTCTTTATTTATGGAGAGCGGTT